GCCCAGGAACAGGAAGGGTCTGGGGAAGAAGAGATGTCCACAGGCATCTCAAGCCTCCCCTGCATGGCCAGCTAGCCCAGTGGACATCACCAGGGAACCCCTGCTCCTCCCAGACTAGCTAAAGGGGCTCTGGGTGGGCTCTAAGCAGTGGAGCTAAAAGAGAAGCAAAAAGACCCAGAAGGAATACCCCAGAGGCTCAGCCCTGGTCACAGGGACAGCTCCACAGTGGGAGCCTGTGGGAAGGAGATCCCAACTGCATTATGGAGTTTCAGGCTCTCTACTTTGGTGGTCACAGCTTTATCTGCCTCAGTTTACTCATCTGTAAAGTGGGCCGATACTCCTGTCAGCCTGGTGGAGGAATTGAGCACATGTGTGTGGAGCTCCAGGTGCCCCTGGCACAGTCTGTTGGGTCGGGTTGGTGCTGCTTCCATCCTGCAGTCCTTCAGGAGATGCCACTCTGGGCCAGGCGTGGTGCTGGGCCCTGCAGGTGCAGGGAGGAAAGACACCATTCAGGCCTGGGGCACAGTAAATGGTATCAACAAGGCCAGGATGGAGAAAGGAAGGGAGGGCAGGGGCATAGCCGGGGGAGGCAGTGTGAGGGGAAGGCTAGGAAGACTTCTTGGAGGGCGAGGACCTGTAAGAAGGCTTCCAACAGCCAACTAGGGTGCCTGTCCTCTGTGCACACCGAGCTGAGCCGAGTGACATGGGAGGGTTAAGGCAGTCCCTGGCTTAGCTGTATCTGTGCTTCACCCTGGTCTGCTACCAGCTGTTTGGGTTTCTAGCTCCCTCCCCTCCGACCTCAAGGCCAGGCCTTATCTTGTCATCTAGACTGTCCCCAGAGCCTCAGAGGCAGCACAGGCCAGGCAGGGCCAGGTGCTAAACAAGAGTGTGAACCATGTATCAAAAGTACCCTCAAGGGTGCCAGAAAAAAATGGAAAATGCTATCCATTTTGTGGAAACTCTACTTAAGGCTGTGTTCGTGAATGAGAAAAGGAAGGTGTCCCGGTGCACTCCATTTTCAAACAGGTGCAGGACCTGGGGCAAGGAAACTACAGGAGCCCCGAAGCTTTTTCTCAGATGTGCCTTGTCCCCTGCCAGCAGACCGTGGCTTCTATATCAGTCACCTCAATCCCTGCGGCAGCCACCTCTGGCTTCAGATGGGCCCTGAGGGTCTGAGGAAATACTACCCCCTATGTGCCCCTCCCTCCTCAGAACTGTAGCAAAAAAAGGGAAAAACCCAGGTCCCCTACCCGCCTTCCCTACGGCAATCTATCTAGTTTTTCACTGCAGATGAGATCTGATATCTAATCACGGTTTCTTCTTTTTTTTTTTTTGAAAGGGAATTTGAACTTCATTGATTACATATGTACCTGAAAAAGACTGATTTACATGGATTTTAACAAAAATATGAAATAAAGTTACATTTCTGCACACATGCATTTGGAAATACATTTAAACCCTGTTTCAGTTTTTTTTTTTTATTTCGGCTTGTGATGGGGGTACAGATTTTAAGGTTTCAATAAATGCCCTTTCCCTTTTAATGACCCTGAAGGTGGTAACCGATCACAGATGTTAGATTGAAAAATGGAGCGTGGTGGAGATTCCAGCTCTGTTAGTTAGATCGTGGGTAGCAGCTGATTGTGGGACACAATTCTGGCCTAAAGTGCCTACTGTGTGAAGGTTACAGGTTTGCACCAAGGGTCCCTTACACACTGAGGCTTTAGCCCCAAGCAAAGCAAATTCAAGTAAAGCACCTACACCCCTGACCAGACGCTGGCCCCACACTCCGGACCTCTGCCATTTTTACCAACAGGTTGCAGAGGAGGAAGCTCAGACCATCCTGCTAATCAACGGAGTGGGCAGGATACACTTGGGGCTTCCCATCCGAAGGTCTAGGGCTTTGCACTGAGCCCGATAATCTCCTCAGAAGTAGTTACAAGTGGCGCAGACATCAAAGGAAGCAACTGGGGAGGAATGGAAGCTGGAACGGGATCAGTGATGTAACTGAATTTGCCCTTTTCGGAGCCCAGCTGGACTTGTGCACTTCCCTGGTTATTACAATGGTCGCTGTTCTCGGGATCCCTGGAGAGCTGGGGCGGGATTCGGGTAATATCCCTCCAAAGCCTTTTACAAAGGTGCAGCCACAGATTCAATGTGAAGTGGTAATTATATATGTTTTTAAAATCCATTTCACAGAGTGAACTAATAACTGCAGCAAGAAGAAGAGTTCATTAGTAGACACCCAGTGCCAGCCTCGGAGACTTGGGTGCAAAGTGGAAGCACGCTTGAGACATCGCTCAAGGTTAGATTAAAAATAAGAACGCCTGTGAAGATTAACCTGATTCATTAATATCACTGTCCAATAAGAGGCAATTCCTTGGAGGGCATGGCTTGGGGCTGAGTTTTGTTCTAGACCTAGGAGCACCTTAATTTGCATTTATATTAAAAAAAAGAGAGAAAAACAAACAGAATTAACTGGAAAGGTGCTTTGTTTCCTATAAATTTGAGCTGTTCTGCTAAACAGCTTCTTCAGGCAGAGAGCATGAGGCTCAATCAGTCTATGTCCAAGAACAAGAATCTCATACCTACTAAGCGCAGGGCACACTGTGCCTGGCAGCTGCAGGGATGTGGGTCCCACCCTGCCGTTCCAAATCAGCCCATCAGGTGGTTGTTGTGTAATGTTCCTTCTACTGGTGGGGAAACTGAGGTCAGGCATTGGGAAAATGGCTTCCCTGTGGTCTTACACTACGGCAGGATTCAGATTGCAGGATTCAGATTCCAAGCCAGGTCTGTGGGCTCCAAGTTCAGTGTCTTTCTGCTACTGGGCAGCTGTGTTAGAACACTTTTTTCTTCATGCGCACACATACACACACTCACACACACACACAATTTCAATCTCTTTTCCAGAAAATCAGTTGAAAACCCAATAAAGCAAGTGAGAAAACCAGCACATTCCTCAGATGCCCTCTGGTTCTGTACTGATGCGAATCCCACTGCCACCCCAACCCCAGCTGAGACAGCCTCCTCCATTTAGCTGCACCTTCCTTGACGACTTCTCTTCGGAGTTTTAATCATTAGAAGCATATAACCAGAATTACCAAATCAGAATCCATAATGAAAACAATCTCAATAAAAACTTCATCAGTCTCAACAACATATTTCCTAAGGAAAACTAGAACATTTCTGGGTTTGCTTTTAACTCCAGTCCTTTCCTCAATGTTGTAGTTCTACTCTTGGGAGCAGGCACACATTTTTATGTGCTTATTTTACTACTGGAAGCCAGCACACTGGCTAATGTCACCTGCCTGCCATCCAGATCAATAAAGGCATGTTTATTGATAAAGGCATGCTTAGGGGGTCAGGAGCTTTTTTTCCCTCTCCATGGTGGTCAGTTTCAGAGGCATATTTCTTGCTCTCTGGCTCTCTAGCCAACAGGTCTCTGTCCCCTGGAATCATTGCCCTGTGCATCTGCGTGCCACTGCCACAGTTTAAAGACAGAGGTGACGGCAATGACCAACTGGCCCTCTCAGACGCTGGGGAGGGAAGGACTCGTCTGTGCTTTGGGTGCTGGGCAAAGGGCATGGGGCAAGCAGAGGCAAAGCTGATTTTGTCTACAACAGAAGGATAAATTCTTTTACAAATCATGAAAACCTGCACCCATGAATTAAACATTTAAAACAAGATGACTCTCTAAAAAGTCTTTTCAACCAAGAAGGAAAGACAGGCCGTCCTGTGCTGGCGCTTCCTGTTGCATATGGCACTGAGAAATCCTGTTTCCAGTGTGCAGAGCTTCCATACAAAGGAAAACATCAAGAGGCAAATTAGAGCAGGGGGGTCCATGGACTGAGGCAGGATCGCAGGAGCGCCCGGAGAAGGGTGGGAAGGAGGGGGCTATTCTTAGGCACAGGAGGGGTGCAGGAAAGAGACCATCCCTGAGCTAACACACTGGCCCTGAAAGGTCCAAGGAGATGGCTCTGGGGAGGCAGCCTGCAGTTCTCGGACAAGTGGCAAACCACAAAGACACCACCCTGCCTCCTGCCAAACAGGGCATCCATCACATCCACTGGCATGAAGGAACCTGCTCTAGTTCCCATGAGTCTCAAGGTATGATATCTGTGAGTTCTCCCAAACCCGACCTTAGTGTCCTAGGGACTCTCCAGAGACTGCTCAGTGAACGGTGCCCTTGGGCATTGGACCTACAGGCAGCCCTGTGGTGTACCAACTGGACCCTCTCCAGGGACTGGGGCTAAACTTCTCAGGTTTTTTGAGCAATATCCAGACTTGCCTCGCTCACTGTCACAGTCTAGGGGTGGGCCGGTTCTGCCCTGCCCCCACCCTGGACTTCAATTCTAGAGCATTTCACCACAATGCCCCCCACCCCCACCCCAAGCAGCAGAGAGCAAACTCTCCCTTCCCAGGGGCCTGGCAAGTCCAAGCTCTGAAACTCCACAAAAAGTAGCCAGGAAGGAAGAGAGGTGAAATCTGGGCTCAGGGAAACCTGGAGAGAGCCAGTGTCTCCCACACCCCAGGAGCACTCCCCTGCCACTTGAGTCCCTTTTGGAAGAGCATCTGGTGCCGGGCCAGCCCTCTCCAACTCCCAGAGAGGTAGTAAGTGTAAGGCTTGGAACCGGCGCAGCCCAGCCCGCACCGGGGCGGTGGGTGGGTGGGTGTCTGCTATGGGATTATTCTTAGCGCTCCACTCTCTTCGCAAAAGTGGCGCCTCCGCCCTCCCGGCTCCGGCACACTTGCTCAGGGCTCGCGAGCCCGGCCCAGACACTAGCGCGATGGAGAGCCTGGGTAGGGTCCCAGAAGGGTGAGGCTCCAAGCCATGGGTGAGGCGGGGGCTCCCCACAGAGGAAGGGGCGCTACGGGAGGTCCCCTGCGAGGGGCTACGTTTAACTTTTGAAGCTCCGCACCCAGACCCGCGCGCATGGCGCGCTCTGCCACCTCCCTGGACTCCTGCCCAGGCACCAGGAGCCGGCGGCGCACCCAGCCCTTACCTATGGTGGTGATGACAGTGATGGCAAAGTAGAAGGAGCCGGCGAATTTCCACTGGACGCCAGCGCGGTGCGGCTCGGACTGCAGGATCACCAGCTCCAGCTGCCGGTAGTCTTCGCTGGTGATGTTGTACTTGCCCCTGATCCGGATCTCCTCGGCTTTGAGTTTCTCCTCCTCGCGCATCTCGTGGTCCGACTCGAGGGCATCGAAGACGGCGGCGCCCACCAGCAGGTAGGTAAAGGTGCAGAGGATGAGGGACACAGTCCGCACGTTCTGCCTCTTCATGGCCGCCAGCAAGGCGAGGGCGCGGGGGAGCCGTCCGGAAGACCGAGCCCGGAGCAAGCTGTCCCACCGCAGCGCTCCGAAGCCACCTCCAAGTCGAAAGCGGCTGTGGCAGCAGCAGCAGCAGGGATTCGGCGGCGACTGAGGAGCCACAGGGGGTTCCCCTCCGCTGGGGCTGCCAGAGCCACCGCTACCCGGAGGCTGCTCGCCGGCCTGGGGAGGTGCGGGCCCGCGCTCCCCTGGGGAACCGGACAGGCACATGAGGCTGCTCGAGCGCCGGGGCCAGTTCTCCTGGAACCCGGACACCCTGCGCCAGACCCGGGCAAGGCAGCCCGTCGCACTTTCTACGGCCATGCAGGGCGGCTCCTCGGGGTACTGGTCGGCCTCCTCTGCCCTCTCCTCTTCGCTTATTTCCGCGGGAAATGCAGAAGCGGGAACGCACTCTAGAGCGCGGCCGGCGGGCGGCCCCGAGGGCAGGCTTTCCGTGGGCTCCATCTTTCCGGCAGTGGTGCCCAACGAGGAACACTTAGGTCTGCGCGCGCCTAGCGGGACCTCCTTACCCTTTTTCCTCTCCTCGCACCCGCTCGGTGGTGGGGAGGAAAAGTTTGCGAAGTGGCAGTGTCTCTAGAGTCTCGTGCAAGCAGGGAGTGGGGCGAGCAGGTGCCGCGGATGAGGCAGCCCGATACCCGAAGGTCCGAGCGCCCTGCGCCCACCCAGGTGCAGGGGGGCGCAGCGAGGTCCCTGCCGGGCGTCTGCAGGTCCGCGAAGTTTGCTTGGCTCAACCCTCAAGGCACTGGAGAGAGATGCGGCCCCGGGACGGCAGGGACCGCGGTGGAGCGGCCGCAGGGGCGGCCCGGGGACAGCGCGAGGGCTGTCAGCAAGTCCGTTCCTCCGAGGATGATGAGCGCGGCGGTGAGAAGAGTCCCGCTGGTCTTGCGGAACTGCAAGGCTGGAGCGGGTGCACGACCTGCTCCGAGTCTGAGAGCTCTGGCGTCTGGGCGTCCGAGGAGGCGGCCGCCGAGCTGGTCTGCCCAGGGCGCTACGTGCGTGCGCGCCGGAGGGAGCCCGAATGTGTGTGCGTGTGCGTGTGTGTATGTGCGCTTGGCAGTCCCGCTCGGGCGGGAGGGCCTGGGGAGCGGGGGCCGGGCCTCCCTCCCTCCCTCTTGCAGCCTCCAGGGCGCGCCACCTCCCGTCTGGTCTCCAGCCAGCTGGCGAGGCTGTTGTGGCAGCTCCTGCTGCAGACCAAGCGCAGCGCAAGGCGCACAGGGAGGGAGCCGGGCAGTGGCGGCCTGAGACGCCCGGGCGGGGGCGGGGGCGGGGGCGATTCAAGGTTTGGGTTTAGCCAGATTGGGGGGTGGGGCGGAGCCACAGGCCGGTTTTGGCGGGGAATGGGAAGATAAACGAAGCTGCTGCGGTCCTTCTAGCCCCGCTCCCCTAGAGCGCACCCAGCCGTGTAGGGCAGAGAGTTAGAGGGACTCAGTGTTGGGAGAGGGAAACAGGATTCAGCCCGAGATGGCAGAGTGGCAGCTTAAGGGTGAGGAGAGATCGGGCAGAGAGTTGGGGGCAGAAGAGGAAGCTGCGGTGGGTACCCGGGAGCGCGGCGGCTGCGGTGCACGCTGTCCCCACTCCCACTCTGGCCAGACACCTGGCGCAGGAGCATGTCACTGGCCAGGGACACTGCCTCATGGAGTGCTGGGGTCTCCAGCGCATCAGCCCCAAAGAGTGGCGTCCCCAGGGTGGCCTAGCACCTACCAGCCTTAGCTCTTTCCCCACTAGAGCGCTGAGAATAGCCTGGCCGCCACTCTTGGAGTCAGGAGCACAGATGAGGACGTCTCATCCTCCCTACCCAGTACTCTCTCTGTTGCTTTTCTGAAAAACACTTCTTGGTTCCCCATACCCAGGAACAGGTTGCGCCCGGGACGCAGCCCTTCCCCTCCCCAAGCCACGCAGTGATCTCTCTCCGGACCAGCCTGGGAAAGGAAGACGAGGCTAGGGCCAGGGGTGTATCCAGAGAGGAGGCCTGTCCAGGCTTATCTCCTACCCACTGCGGCCTCCTTTTCCCCCCTCCCTTTCTCCCTCCCACATCCCTCCTCCCTCTCTCCCTTCCTTTAGTTCGTCAAAGGGCTTTCCCTGGACCACCGTCCCCTAAATGCCCCCCTTGGGCAGTGGCGCTCCCAACCATAGACCCAAGCCAGGGAGACCCCGGGCGCCCTCTCCCAGCCCCAGCCAAGGAAGGGATGGAGACTTGGGGAAAGAGTGGCCGGCCAGGTGGAGAGTTAAGAGGCTAAAAGGTGGGGTCTTAGAGGCTGGCCGAGGAGATTAAGGGTAGACCCAACCATCAGGCAGCTCTAGGGCTCCAGGAGCCCCGTCCCCTCTGGGCCACTCCTTTGAGCCACACTAGAGCTCTCTGCAGGGATTCAGGATGCAGGGGGTCTGAGACCCCTATGCCCCACGGAGGCTCCCCAGCTGGGACGTTCTCCACCCGCTTTGAAGGCTCCTGGGTGGCCCTGGGGGAAGGGGAGCCCGCGCGGGGCGCTACATCTGGGCAGTCTTTGCTGGGGCTGCGGGCGCCCTTGGGCACCCAAGTGGGGAGCTCCACCCTGGGCAGGCACTCTCCCCAGAATTCGTTTTGGAAACCGAGGCCCCCACGCTCGGCAAGTGAGCCTGGCTGCCGAGTGAGTCACCGCGAGCGGGCGACAAGGATTCCCAGCAGCTGGTAATTAATTGCGCGGTGGCTCAGCCCACGACGGAACCCCAGTCAGGCCTCCAGCCGCCCTGGCAGCGGCGCCACCCCTGAGTCAGCCGTCGGGCCTCAGCTCGGTCCGGAAGCGGCCTGCCCGCCTCGGCGCCACCAGGGGGCACTGGACTCCGACCACAGGTCGGCGGGTTGCGCCAGCCCCGCGCAGGGCAGTCGGGGCGGGGGAGGGGGGGGGAGGCGCGCAGGCAGCAACGGGGGATGGGACGCGCCGCGCAACGGAGCCCCAGCTATCTGCACTTTTATTTGGTTTATGGAGCTCGTATTTACATGCAGCCTTTCAGGAAAATGCAATGGCTGCGTGTGAGTGCTGGAAGGGACCTCAGAGATGAATTACTCCAAACCCCTTCTTTTACAGCTGGGAAAACGTCCAGCCATCTAGGGTCATGTGCCCAGGATCACACAATAATGCTGATCTGGAACACGCATCTGCCCCCCGCGCTCACAGCCTGTCCACACCCCTCCACGACCGGTCCCTGGGCCTCACTTTCTTCTTTAGTAAAAACATGTATCATCTTATTGGTTAATAAAGAACACCAAGGCTCTATAACTCTACCCACTGCCTACGTGTTTGCTCCATTCTTTACACACAGTGGGCGAGCCTGCAGCCCCCTGTCTGCCCAGAGAGGCCCATCAGATCGGTTTATCCTGGCCCCACGTGAGTAAGGGAAGACCCGACTTCCAGGCCAGTGCTGCAGCCACATCACTCCATGTGAAAACAGATTTTGCCGCCCTGCAGGCAGGATGCACAGTGCTCTGGGACAGGCTGATGCCCAGCTGCCACCATTGCCACATCTGTCAGCCCTGGGCCAGGGCAGGTTTTATGTACTGGGAAGAAGCCAGAGCTGTCTGCTGCTGCCAAAACATCCTGACCCCGTGGGTACCTTTAATGTTTTGTCACTTTAATACCTACATCTATGAAAATAGATAGTGGGTGCAGAATCATCATACCCATTTTACATATAGGAAAGGTGAGGCACCACCTTCCAATTCTGGTGGCCCTAAATGACAGGAGTGGGGACGAGTCTGCCCTTACTCAGGGCCCCATTGCCAGAAGTACATGTTCCTCCCTCTACTCCTAGCAGATTTCTCAAAGCTAGTGGTATGTCCACAGTTGATGGCAGATCTCTGCCTTAGACCTCCAGCAGTAACAGATTCCAAAGAAAAGCACTTTAGGATGAAAACAAGTGTGTCTTATGGTCACACCGTTTGGGGAACACCAGGTTAAACAGTGGACAAGTCAGGACTTCTCAGAGCCTTTGGTCCATTAACCAGCATCATGACTCCTGGACATGAGTACTTGAGCAGTGTTTCCCAAACTCACTTGACCATGGAGCCTGCCTTTGGGAGGCTCTGCCTCTGTAGGGGCAGCTGTGTCCTTCTTCACCAGGCACAGGCAATAGGGGCCCGGGCCAGCGTGGTGTCAAGAAGACCTGGTGGGAAAGGAAGGGGTGGCCCAGCCCCTGGTACACAGTGGGTGTTCAATACTTATTTCATTGGCTCCCTGATTGAATCCAAAAGATGCCTAGATAAGTCCCCAGGGCTCAGTGTCTAAGGATGTGGGCTCCAGAGGGAAGAGATGTAGGAAAATGGCTAGAGTTTTTATGACACAAAAGGCAAAGCCAGCGATAGAAGAGGGAAACTGAGGCTGGGCCTGGCTAAGGTGATGTGACCTTTGAGTTGTCAGACCTCCAGGTGACATGGGGACATGAGCCCACACTGGCTGGGGTCCCCCACTTAGATGCCAAGCCCTGGTGGGTCTTTCTGGGGATTTCCACACCCCAAACTTCTCTGGGTGCGGTGGATCTCCAAGGGTGGCCTCGTGGGCAAAGGCACCTGGATGTTCACACTCGCAGCCTTGCAGGACCTGGAAGAGAGGCAGAATCGGGGCACAGAGCAGATCTGATCTGCTCCAGAGTTAGAAGGCCTTCAAGGACAGGAACTTCATCTTAATGGATGATAAGCAAGTCCCTCTTGGACTCAAGGTCACAGAGCGAATGGGGAAAAAGCCAACCCCTCCTTCAAGCCCCTCCTCACTTAGGCCAAGGATGCCCCCGATGCTCCGTGCACACATACATCCATGCTTTATTAGAGGAAATCTGATTAGTGGATTTCAGGATTCTTAACGCGGCCTGAGCCACTGCCTGTCTCCACCCTGATCCAGAAATAGCTGCATCGCCTTCCGCATGGAGCCCACAGTGCTCCCAGGATCAATCGGACAATTGGCAGCGGCTTCTCCAGCTGACAGTTCCCAAGAGGGCTGCAGCAGGTGTGAACCCTGTGTCTATCGTGAGAGTCTCATTAACCCAGGCCCGAGAGGCAGGGCTGATACCCCAGGGACACCCTACTATTCTGAAGCCAAGCAGACGGGGTGAGAGGGCAGCTATGCTGCACCCACAGGCTGCCACTGTGACCGGAGGAGCTGGAACTCCTGAGCAGCAGGGAGGACATCCCTGTCCCCACTTGTCCTCAGTTCCACTCTCGGGTGCCCTGGGGCTTGGCACAGAGCAGAGGCTGCCGGGCATCTGTTCCTTTGATTAATGAAATGGATGTGGGGACAGTAGGGATACTAGTGGCCAGAAAATAGCATTAGTCACCTTTCTCTTCTTGGTCACCTCCCCACCATCCAGTGCCCCAAATAATTAGACATTCACAGTAAAGGGACATGTGTTGGACCCAGTTCTTCTGTCTTCTTAAAAATAAAGATAAAAAATAAATTGGTTAAAAATAAAGATAAAAAATAAATTGATTAAAAATAAATATTTTCTGCTATTAAAAACAAACAAAAATAACAATATATCAAGAACTCACTAACTGCGAGACCCAGGAAAGTAACCCAATCAAGTTTCCTGGTCTTGCCCTTGGGGATGAGATGGGGTTACCTCCTTGGGCTGTTGAGGTGATCAGACAGCAACTGTGGCACAGTATGCAGCACAGAGTCGGGCCCAGGCTGGGATTGGAACCTGGGTCTCTCTCCATGGCACTAGCGGATCCCCAGTGTGACCAAGTTCTCCATTGCCAGAAGCATCAGTTTTCCCCAGAGGAGCCCCAAAGACCACCCAGACTGTGGGGTGAGCCTGGCTTCCCAGTCAGGCTTGGTTCCAAATCCTGGAGTTGTCATCTTCTCCCTGTGTGACCTTGGGCAAGTGAGGGGCCAACTCTGTGCCTCTTTCCTTGCCAGCAGAACCAGGGGAAAGAGCTGGTCCCCGTCAGGGTGGAGTGGAGCAATCCGAGGCCCGAGCGCCTCTGGCAGAGGCCCGGGCGCCCAGTGGGCGCGCAGTCAATGTTGAGTCTCTTACCAAGCGTAGAGGGCACGCTGCCCTCCTCTCTGCACCTCACTGCCCGCAGCCGGGGAGTGGTGCCAGCCGCCACATGCTTGCGGTGGAGACGCTACTACACAGCCGGCTCCCTCCCTGGCGGGAGCTAACTTTAGCCCCATCACATGGAGCATTAGTTG